GGAGCCCAGCTCAAGCGCTGCCACCCATTTACGCTTCAGGCTAGTGCCCCCTACTCCACCCGCCTCCAGAACGTGGCCCTCATCTCCCAGGGGCACTCAGCATCTAGAAATTCAGAACCATAGACAAGAATTCTGCAGGGATGAGTTCTCATCAGCACGGACTCTCCCCAAGCTACAGAGCTCCAAACTCAGAGACTAGGGCAGTGGACGGAGAAGATGTTCAGCTAGTATGCTGGTGAGGTGAAGAGCGCTAATGGGATTTCGAGTCCTAGAAAACCCCAGGTAGCAAGGGGTCTTCCCTTGACAGGAGAGAAGAAACAGATTTGAGAAACCTGTGTGATACCTCTGTCCCCTGTGCGCTCCTTCACCCACTCGGTGGCCGCAGCGATGCTCTCTGTGCTGGTGACATCCAGGATCACCGTCTCCAGCCTGTCCGACGTCTTGCCCCTCAGCTGCTCAGCCCCCTTTTCTGTGAGACATGCAGCCAGCACCCTCAAGCCTCGTAGGTCCAGCTGCCTGGCCAGCAGGTTCCCGAAGCCCGAGTCACAGCCCGTGATGAAGACATACTTGTCTCGCAGGTGGCTCACCACCTGTCGCTCCCGGTACCAGCGCAGAAGGTAGTACAGGCCCACGAGGATTGCCAGGTACAGCCACATGGCTTTCCTGGGACAGGCGGTAGGCAAGGCTGAAGTGAGAATGTGGCCAGTGTTCAGTCAGGAGGATCTAGGAGCACAGGGTATAAGTTAGCACACCAGCCTCCAGTCACTCAGACACGGAGTCCTCAGGTCTTTCCTGCTCATCTTCTTTAGTGAGTATTTATATGTTTGTTTAATGAGTATGATTGATTCTTGCCCAATTTGTATGATCTTTGGCACACTTACACCATTTCCAATAGGTGACATTGCATTGCTCAGGAAATCCCTTCACCTGAGCATAATTTTCCCAACCACCTGATCTTGGTTCTCCACTCCTCCCACTTTCCCTCCTCTCTTCTTTCCCCCATCAACCTGCCCTAAACTGTAGCCCCCTATGATCATGGTCTCATGGTCCAGCACTATCTTCTTCCCTTTTTCCTGCTCAAGTCTGGAACCCTCGTCTCCCTGACCTACTGGAGAGTTTCACAAAGAGGATGCTTTTTGTATCAAGACACATGTAAGTAGAATAGCCAGCTCTGCTCCAACTACCATGTGACCGTGGCAGCGGGCGGACCCTCTGAGGTTCTTCTCATCTGGCTCCACACAGAATTCACTCCTAAGAAAACTGAGCTCTGCTTAGAAAACTAAGTTTTGGATTAGAAAGAGAGGGAAAGGCGTATAATGTCCCCTGCTGATGTACAAACTCTCAGGGGCAGAAAGGTGTGCAGGAGACAGGAGGGTGTCTGACTACCTCAGAGGCAAAGAAGAGAAGAAGGGAATGGGGCGGCCACACTCAGGGAAACTTCTCCCGGCACCTGGGAGTGTGGAAAGGAAGGACCTAAGGAAAGAAGGGCTAACGGCTACCCTCTCACTCCACGAAGATGCCTGTCCCCAGCCCTGGCCCTCTGCCCCGTGCTGAGAATCCAGACCCAGACCCAGACTCCGAAGGTAGAAAGGATCCGCTTAAACAGGGACCAAGTATGGGTCCTTAACTTCACCATCAGGGAGGCTGTAAACCCCAATAACCACAAAGGTCTCAGTCCACTTTGAATCGGGGTGATGATGGGGAGGTGGAGACATCTGCCCCCTTGGGAGACTAAAGAAAGGACTGGACACTGGAGCCCAGACCAGCTGTCCCTGAGGGCTTCAGGGTGAGATAAGGAAACCTTTTCATAGAAGGGGGTGGACCAACATGTGGAACAGGGCTGCAGCGTGGGACAGGGACAGAAGAAGCCAGTTCCAAGCTCTGGGGGCCTCCCTCACCGTCCAGTTTCACAGTTCTGACTGGTAAGCAGGCAAGAGTAGAGGCACTGGGAGAGGGGAGAGGCTCCCTTGAAGAAACCAGAGACTCAAATGCCTGGACATATGCCGGCAGCAGAGGAGACAGAGACAGGCAGGGGCAGACCCAGCCTTCAGCTGTAACTCTGGTCTGCAGAGAGCTACTCTGTGGTTCTGAGAGTTTGTCCCTCATGGTGGGAGGCGGCAGCAGGATTTGACCTGCTGGCCCTGCAGAAACCAGCCTGTCCCTGCTCCCTGGGGTGACTGCCAGCACCCGGCTACAAAACTTTCTCAAGATAGGGAAGGAGGAGCAAGGAGGAAGGAAGGAGCCCTGAAACCCTTGGGGAGCCAAGGGGCAAGCATATCCTGACACCAAACCCTCAGGAGACTTCCCCTGCTAAGGGGAAGATCGCAGTTTCTTGGAGGCAATTGGAGAATTTCTTCCTTAGTGACCACATTCCTTCAACCACTAAGTCTCAAGGGCTAGGAGGCAGAGAAATCTCCCAGCCACATGATCAGGGCTTCACTCTTGAGAAGCCTAAAAGCAACTGCTTGGGGAGTGCCAGGAGCTTCAGAGTCCATCCCAGTTGGGCACAATCAAGTTCGGGAGAGAGCAGTAAGACAGAAGCGGATCTGGATGACACCCACTCACCTGGGAGCTACAGGGGCCAGAACGAGAAATCCTTCAGACCAACCCAGAGACCGAGTCTCACCGCAGCGACTCTCTGCAGTAGATGTTTAACAGGAAATGCAAGGGCGGATAGGTTGGCCAGCCTCCAGAGCACCACAGCTTGAGCAACATGAGAGCTGGAACAGCGACACGCGCCCCCTGGTGGCTCCACAGAGTCTTAGTGGAGACTTCTGTCAAAAGCAAAACATCCCCCTTCTATTACTTGTGTGGGTCCCTAAAGAGGGGTTTGCATCATAAATGAAAAGGGGCTCTGGAAAGGGTATGGAGTGAGGGTTAGCTGTGCAAGCTCATTTCCAGCTTTATAGGTACGCGGCCCCACGTCCTGGAGTGTGGATCCAAACATTCTGAGATGCAGCCCTGCCTTTAGGTGTGAAGGTCTGGCCCTGGAGGGGAGGAGAGTTACCGGTGGAAAGTTATTGAGCCCATGCTCCTCATAAAGGTCCAGGGCAGCAAAAGGAAAGGGTGAGGGCAGTGTCCCCGGGGCACCTCATGGTGTCTCATAGCATGGGTCCCAGCCCCTGACCGCTTCATCACACTGGACCTGGCTCCTCCCCAAGAATGGAGCCTAGAAGGAGGGATGGTACTCCTTGGAGAGTCTGGGGTGAAGACGTGGGCTGGTTTCCACTGGTCTCCTTTGTTGTTGTCCCACCTTCAGAGTTGTCCCCTTGAGTCACAGTCCACATTTGGGGCCACTGGACCCATGTGGATGCAGCTCTGCCCCGTGTAGAGCCTAGCATGGAGGGCCACGGGAGTATAACCCCACCGTTCTCTGACACTATGGAGAGGACGCCTTCGGGTGAATCCAAACCTTCAAACATACACTGGAAAGGCCAAGGTATTATGTGAATCAAGGATTATTTGTTTTATTTCAGTTTGTTTGGTGTGTCTGGCTATGTGTGTGTGTAAAGAATATTGTGCAATCGGAGACTTCAGATTCAGCATGAAGTTCTTGCTTGGCATCTGAGTGGGAGACATGCATTGACCTTGAGTCAGCTGACACCAGAGCTTTGAAGAACGCAGAGATTCTTGAGGATCTTGTGGTCATCTCCATGTCCTCAGCAGCCTCATGCCTCACACCAAGCTCTCACTAAGGGCTGAGACCGAATAGCCCTGCAACATCCACCTCACTCTCTCTATCGCAAAGAACAGAGAGATTGTTCTACAACATGAGAGTCCCCTGAAAGCACCATAGTCATGATTTTAAACTAAAGGAAGAAAACTAAGACACCTGGCAAGTACTCCCCAACTCCAATTTGTACTCCGCCCATGAATATCTTTCACTATGTGCTAATGCCCACTCTCTGTTTAGTCCATACTCAGCACGTTGTCAGAAGAGGGGAGGCAGAGTCGGGGCCTCAGCAAGCACTGGGGCTAAGGGAGCTCCTGCCCAGACAACAGTG